TTTTTTTTTTGTTTGCCCGGCGGCTGGAGGAATAAAAAATCTTCACGAAGACACCCAGTGTTCCGAACCCTGGGTAGTGTTGGATTCTTACCAACTAAAAAACCCCCTTTCTTGTACTACGAGTTATGCTTTATAACTTGTAGTCCTCTAAGAATTTGTCAGCTCTGGCATCCGTATGCCATAGCATCGCATTCTCTCCATGCTAGCTGCTTGCTAGCATGGGCACCTTAGTAATTTTTTCAAATCAATCAAAAATATTTGATTTGAGATGTATTGACAGGCCCCATAAGGAAGATATTTTCTTAAATTCTAGCCCAAAAATGCGTTTAGTTTTTTTACAGAAGGATTTTGTGAGCGTTTGTACTTTTAATATGTTACGACGGTGGATAAATACCAGGGCCAGCAAAATTACTACATTCTTCTTTCACTGGTGAGGACCAATGCTGCAGAGCATTAAAGAGATGTTAGGAGACTCGTGGTGGCTATGTCTCGAGTTCGACTAGGACTTTACATATTTATTCTGGTGTAGTTCTAAAAGATCTAGAACAACCTTCGTAGTTCATTTAGGATCTACCGAAGAAGAGCTTGGTGAAACGCAAATGACACTGATAGACGGATTGCCTTCGTCATCATCCTCAGAATCAGTGGTAGATAGATCTTCATCAATATCACTATCAATCCTGCAATTAAATGTTTGATTACAATTTTATTCTAATGAATTTTATGAAAAGTACCAACCATAATTTGGGTTTTTTTCCCAGTTTGCTTTTAGTATCGATTTTCCTCTTTATGCCCCTGGTTGAGGCTTCCAAGCCCTTTGTGACCGCATCCTCTATCTTGTCAGTCAACTCACTCCTCTCTTTATCGTACTGCTCATCCTTAAATTCATGTCTGGGTTGTTCTAGTAGCTTTTCGAGTTTTTTCTTTTTCTTCTCTTCTGCCTCTTTCTCTCGTTCCCCTTGCTGCTCCACCCATTTTATTAGTCTTTGTTCTTCGTTAATGTCCCTTAGCCTTCTGCCATTGAGGTCTCTACAGGCTTCTCTATTTGTGGTTTTTTCGATTTGAGCTCCAATAGCTCTTAGCATAGAACCAAAGCCGCCTTTCCCACCGAGAGTTCTTAATATAATATGTACTTTCCTTTGAGGCATTTCATCTGCCTCTGGATTGAATATTCGTCCATTTGAAGTTAGATAGTACTCGTTTGGTTGTAGTCCCTGTAAAACGATGAATGTTATAATAACTGTATTTGATATGATCACAGTGATATCAAAGAACAATGAAACTCTCATGGAAGTACAGATTTCCATGTGATCAATTCTCAATTTTCAAGTTTTATAGCGAATCAGTCGGGTTCAGGCTGAAATAACCCTCTCAAAACCTGTACTTTATTTTGGCACTTGCGATTTAAAGTATTGGGTTATTAAATGAACTTTCGCCACCTAATTAATTTATTAATTTCAAATTTGAATATTGAAATCAAATTGATCAAAACTAAAATATTAAATTCAAAAATTGTACATATTAACGTCTAGTTCACTTATAGATAATGTAAAATGTTATTACAGGGTGTTTCAAATTCACGTACAGACCAAACTTCCATTTTTTAAAATAGAATGATGGAAATTTAATAAATTTTATATTAATATAAAGATAAAGAGGAAATTCTCTGTCTTTTTTAGACAAAAATTTTTGAGGGGAAATACCAACAAGTTTGTAAAAAAATTAATCCGCCTCAACAATATAGAACTTATCTACAACTTAGAATGATGTAGTTTGGTCTGCCACGTGAATTTCAGATATCTTGTAACAACTAATATTATTTTAAAATAAACTAGACGTTCATATATGCTACTTTTGTATTTATAATTCG